ATATATATATATATATATCAGTCTGGCGAGTAAACAAAAAAATGTACTAGCCAATTGCGATTCAATTGCCAAGGTGTTCGTAGAGGGCTGGAATAGTTGTAATAGTCTTGGAAGCATTAAACAAATAGGCCTAAGTAATGTTTTGCACTGCATGCCATCCAACAAAAGTGTGTATGAAGGGAGAGATAATGCTGATGTTAATTGATCAAAATAATCTCAAAACGACCAGACATTGGCTGAATTGTTGGCTTGGATGATTGTTAGTCTGTATACAGGTCTTGTCTGTTTTTTTTTTTGCTTCATTACACCTTTAAAATGGCATCATTAGAGGCGTGTAGTTCACTTAGTGTTTGTTTCTGGTGTTGTTCCCAGTAAGTGATAATTCTTCTGTGGAGCACAAAAGGCAGAACGACAACTTTGGTCAACCTTCATTGTCATTGCATGGAAAAAATATGCAATAAAAGGAAATGTGACTGTCATTAATTTGCTGGCTAACATCTCCTGTAGTGTTCCATAGAAGAAACTAAGTCAAACAGGTTTGGAACAACATGACAGAATCTTCATTTTTTGGGTTAACTATACCTTTATCATCATATCTCAGTCTTCAACTAGCAGCTAGCAGCTGGATTCCCCTGAGGCTGTAGCGGTTAACAGTAGCCTAGATATTGTCTTGATTCACAGGTGTGGACTGACATCACTGTGGCTCTGAATCACGTGAAATTAAACACACCCCTTTAACGCAATGTGAGAGAGAAACAGCATAATTACAGCCAATAGCTAATTAATATAGAGATTTATGTAAACATTTAGAATACATATGGTATTTGAACTTAAATTACATTTTTAGGTTGAGACTTTAAGAAAAGCATTACAGTTTGTAAGGGATTAAATCCACCACTTTGTGGTTGTTAAATGTTAAAGGAATTGTTCACCCAAAATAGTTCACTCCCCCTCTGGCTATTCAAAATGTAGATGAGTTTATTTCTTCATCTGAACAGATTGCATCATACTCACCAGTGGATCCTCTGCAGTGAAGAATGAGTGCCGTTTGAATGAGAGACCAAACAGCTGATAAAAACATCGCAATAATCCACAAATGATCCACACGACTCCAGTCCATCAGTTAACTTCATATGAAGTGTAAAGCTGCATGTTTGTAAGAAACAAATCCACCATTAGGACATTTTTAACTTTAAACCATTGCTTCTGAACAAAACGCTGTCCATAACTGTCCAAAATCAATAATATTCCTCCAGTGAAAAAGTATCTGTTCTCTGTTGTCCTCTCACATCAAAATCCACAAACATATTTGTTTAGAACTATTTTGAAATAAAACATTGCATGATCTGTGCATATTTGTCCTCTGATTCAGACAAGACTACTTTTTCACTGGAGAAAGCAATATTATAGATAGAGGACTTGTAGTTTTGCCTGAAGGCAATGATTTAAAGTTAAAAACTTTGTTTATTACAAACAGTGTTGGGGAGTAACTAGTTGCATGTAACGAAATTACGTAATTTAATTACAAAATAAATGAAATTGTAATCAGTTACAGTAAATGTGTAATTAAATTACAGTTACTTATGAAAATGGGCAAAGGGGGTTACATCTGAATTTTTCACACACACACACACACACACAAGTTTTGTTTTAGCCCAGACTTTGTTGAAGTTTCACTACTCCTTTGTGTAACTTCCTACTTAATCAGACCGCTGCAGGTCACGTGAAAACACAACAATGTCAGCATACTACAACTTTAAAAACTGTGCATTGGTGTGTCATATAAACTCTTGATTAAAACTATAGGCCTCATTCATGAAACATTTGTAAATATATGAATACATTCAGAGTAATTGGCATGTAAAATGGACCTTCCTGAAAACCAGATTCACAAACCTCTGATTCGATAGTTAAACGTGTGAATGTTAATAAGCCACTGCAGACAGCAAGCCAAATAAGTTGAACCTCAATCTCTTAAAGATTACCTAGCTATATTGGCAAACAAACTCATAAAATATTATTATATTACATATAGCGTTATCAAAATGCAGTGTTTAAAAAAATGAAACATTTGGATGTTTTACACATCATTTACACATGGTTGGGAGCAGGTGTAAATTTTTTTGTGTACCAAATAACATTTTGAAAATATGAAAATTTTCTTGAATCCAAATATGTATGCCAGTCCAATGACTTAATGAACAGTTTACACACACACACACACACACACACACACACACACACACACACATTTGTTTTTGTGAATTGTGGGGACATTCAATAGGCATAATGGTTTTTATTCTGTACAAACTGTATGTGCTATTGCCCTACACCAACCCTACCCCTTACAGGAAACTTTGTGCATTTTTACTTTCTCAAAAAAACTCACTCTGTATGATTTATAAGCGTTTTGAAAAATGGGGACATGGGGTAATGTCCTCATAAGTCACCTTCTCCTTGTAATTCCTATGTCATACCCATGTCATTATACAAATTTGTGTCCTCATATGTCACAAAAACACACACACACACACACACACACACACACACACACAGATTTAATTGATTTCTTTCCCAAATTGCATTGACTGCTCTAAAATATGAGATGCCAATGTTTCAGGAATTTAGTACACAGAATAGGACACATGATTATTTAATAACAGTTTAATTTGGGTTTATGTATATATAATTTAATTTCAAAAACAGTATCATTATCAGCTATTAAACTATTTCTTGTTATGATTTTAAGTCTGTAATTAACCTCAGATTGATCTCAAAGTAAGTCTGATTTTGTGGAGGCTATGCTTTAAAGGGGACATCGGATTCCCCTTTTCCACAAGTTGGTATGATTCTTTAGGGTCTTAATGAAATATCTGCAACATAATGACCTGCTGCTCACCCCACCCCTCTCTTCCGTGGAAGAACAAAGGTGATTTGCAAGTAATCATAAAAAATATAAAGTGTGAGATTTAATTCTTCTGCAGGTGCAGCTGGATCATGAACAGTGGGTACTCCATCCTTGAGTTTGAACTTTTTAGCAAAACCTGCTTTGAATTGTCCCTCATTCAGAAAGAACATAGACATAAAGACATAAACAAATTTAGGTGTATTCGGTGGCGCGTTACAATCAAAAACAGAACTAATCCACTGTGTCTTCAGTGGCTCTTGATGTCGGGATGTTCTACATCCAACTACAAAACACCTGCATTGCTTACGAGACATTGTTTTCAATACAGCTGCTGAGGGCGGAGATATGCAAATTCGGAACAGTCCGTCAGCAGTCGTGGGTGGGGCCTGAGCAGTATGACATCAGAAAATCAAAATGGCTTGATAACTGAGACTGTTTAGGTTTTTTGGGGATTAAACAAAAGAAGTGAATTGATATTTATCATTGTAGGGTGGTTATGTTCACACACTGCTAAGACACATTTATATGCAAACACCATGTAAAAGTGAATTTTGCATCCAATGTCCCCTTTAAAATTAAAGTATTATAATCTTAATTCAAGTGATAAAGGATTTTGAAAGTCTGACAGTATTCAGCGCTACTGTAAGATTAACCCTGACTGGTTTACATGTTTGAAAATAATTAACAGTTGAAAACATTAGAAATTTAGAAAAGTAATCAAATGTAATCAGTTACATTACTTCAATAAAGTAATTGAAAAGTTACACTACTTATTATATTTTACATAGAGTAACTTGTGATCTGTAACCTATTACATTTCCAAAGTAACCTTCCCTTCCCAAACATGCAGCTTTTAGCTTCACAAGTCGAATGGATTGATTGTGGATTACTGTGATGTTTTTATCAGCTGTTTGGACTCTCATTCTGATGACACCCATTCACTGCAGAGGATCCATTGGTGAACAAATGATGCAATGCTAAAATTCGCCAGATATGTTACCATCTTGGATAGCCTGAGGGTGAGGGTACTTTGCTAGGACACCTGTGTGAAAATATTTTTTGGTTAAAAGTAATGGCAAAAATTGCATTTACAGTCATACATTTTAAGTGTGACTTAAGTGTCCAAATACATTCACTGTACAGCATTATAGAATGGGTGCAAAATGACAAATTATAGGGTTAGTTTTGTATCAACAGGACAATGTTGAGGCATTTCAGTTCAGTGAAAACATACAGCAGGTGGAATTTGCCCAAAAATGTGGAGAATGCATCTGCAGCCTGTGATGTTTTCACAGGTGCGCTTATCTACATTGTAGGAAAAGTGAAGTTCTACAAACACGATAAGATCACCCAATAAAATTTACCACAGGATCTGCAAGACTCATTGTTTAGCATTAATTTCATTATTACATAATTGGATGTTTATATAATCTGACTCAACTGGGCAGATTGTGCAATGTAATGAGCTTTTATTGCATGATTGCATATTCCACCACAGACGTCATCAACATTTCTGGACAGTCTAGACATTTTAATTACCCCAGTGTTTTTTGTTTTTTTTTTGCCTCGTTTTGAAATATGAGAAAAGATATTAAAAAAGATATTAGCAGATATTTCGACATAGAACTAATCATACTTCATTCTTCAATTATTATATTGTTAGTTAGCTAAAGCAAGCAACACTATTACAATGGATCACACTTAAGGTAATTTCATACATTGTCCCACCCATTTGTATTTTTGACATGGATGATATCTCATATCATAAAGTTTGTTGAGGAGAGGTGTGCAGCGCTATTATTTTTATGATATTATTATATCATTTTCAAGCATATGATTTCCACCTGGCAGACGATAAAATGGGCATAAAATCCTATAGACTTACACTGAAGGAGAGTCTTGTTTTTTTTGTTGTTCTTTTACAGATATTCAAAATGAAGAAGCCAATACCTGTAGACAAAGCATCTTGAAGAGAAAGAGGCCAGTGTGAGTGTGTGACTGTATCTGTGTGTACGCATGTGTATATGTGGATGAGATTCCATAGGCCATGTCTGTCCCCACCAAACTAGAGAGGACAGTATGTGTCCTCCTTCCCACCAAGGAGACATTGGACATCACAGTGGGGGTAAATATTCAGCTCTTGTAATATTTCATATTGTTATCTGCAGCAATGACAAATGACAAAAAGTAATAACCTACGGAAGGCTGTACTTTATTTTGTAATAAACAGTATATAAAATGTGCAGATGTGTGTTTGTTTATTGAGTTGAATGCAAGCATTTAGAATCAGAATGCATTTTAAAATCATGTTTTTGTATCTGATTCATTGTCAAATCTGTTTTTCTTTTCCTCCAAGCTAAAAGCAACGGGTCAAGATGTGTTTCACAGTGTCTGTGAGCTTCTCGGGGTTAAAGAGCTGCACTACTTTGGATTGACTTTAGTCAAAAGTAAGAATTGATTCTTCCCAATTGCAGTGTACCCTTTTAAAGGTCGCAACAGGGGGATTTGCAGTAGTGGTTAAACGGATCGTAGTTGATCCGTGATCCGTACGGACCAAGCCCCACGGTTCGGCACGCATGTGATCCGCGGATTAATTGCAAAATTTAACCATAATAGAGTATAAGTTTATCATTTGTTCGTATTTACACAAGCAAGCGAATTTTAAACAATTCCAGAGAGAAAAGGCGAAAGGGAACTCCATTCGTTACATGCACGCTGTTTTCTACGCGCACAGCTGCACACACATGAAGCACGCACACGCGTTTCAGATGGCGCGCAAACACCGAACTGAATCCTCTTCTGAATCCTCTGAACAGACACATACACATAAAATTATGACAAAATACCCATCTCGACAATCATTCAGGTAAACGCAGTCAGTTATGTCTCAAGTGAATGAAAACAGCTGAGAAAGAAATCGGATGTGATGTGTATCATTTTATCGGATCCGTTCATCAGGTCTTAAAGGGACAGTGGCTTATAAATACTGGTGCTGTCATTAATGATCATCAAACAACAAAACAGCTGTGATAAAAATCTATATTTAATTTATACAATGAACACTATGCAGTGTTATTTTCCCTAATTATTACATTTCTGTATTTGATACTACCAACCTTATTTTATTTGTAACATATTGCGTTGTGTTGATCTATGATTGTAATTTGTGTATTTGTTCTTATTTTTACTGGCTGTTCTCTTGTCTCTTTAATCATGTTTAAACTTTCTTAGTTAATCTAGTAGTATTTGCTGTGGTATCAAAAGAAATACTTCGCATTAAGTAATAAATGGAAAGCAAGATAAATTGAAATATTTTTCTTTTCTTGCTGATCCGAAAAATGATCCGATCCGTGGGTCAAAAACCGTAATGTGATCCGAACCGTGAGATTTGTGATCCGTTGAACCACTAATTTGCACTGATGTCATAGCAGAATCACTTTTAGTTCACCAGAGAATCTTTCAGTGAACAGTTCTTAAAAGAACCATTGTTTTCTTAGTGTAAAGAACATTATAATAATCTATAGAACTTTTTCCGCTATAAAAACCTTTTGTGCAATGGAAAGGTTCCATGAATTTTAAAGGTTCTTCATGGAACCGTAGATGCGAAAGAACCTTTATTTTTTAGAGTGTATGTGAATCTCAAAGGAAGTGTGTTTTTGTATCTACTGTAAATGGAAATTGTAGCCACATTTGAGCTGCTTTATTTGTCTTTCACTGAAGACTTTCGAATGCAAATGCTTACAGCTCAAGGCCTTCAGGTTGTTTGCCAATTCAAGCAATGTATGAACTGCACCTGAATAACATAATCTGCAAAGACACAAACTTGCTTTTGTTCCCAGGGAAATTTGAATTAAATCCAGTTCAAACTAATGTGGCATCTAATATTTGTCTTTTGCCATTCCAATCAGGCTCTCTCTATATTATTCTCTTTTTGCTCTCATTTTCAACCTCTCATTCAAAAGCCTCATTCCAGCTTCTTCTTCCCTTGAATACCTTTTTACGATTTTTTTGTGTCACTCTCCTCTTGGATAAGAGCGTCTTTGTTTTTGTGTATTTGAGGGCTGGTGACCCCTGAGGCTTGGAATCAAGCTATATTAACTTTGTTAAGCCTGGAATTCACCATGATTCACCACTTCACTGCAGAGAGGCAGCAGGAGAGAGCAATTGATATTGGCTGAGCGTTTAGCAGGGTCACAACCTTCTCGTCATGAACCTCGGATAAAGAGACAGTGAGTCAGAAAGAGTTTGAGTCATTTAGTGAGGGAGGTAGTGATGCGAAGTTAGCAGTGATAAAGCATGGATAAACTGAACGGAATGTGAACTTGCACTTGTAAAAACATAACATAAAGTGTTAACAAGTTCACATACATTTTTCTGTGTTTGTACAGATACTGAAACATACAATATAAACATTCTGACAGCATCTAAAACTTAATATGAATTACTCTGAATTTTCATAATCACTCATAATTTATTACTGTATTTATAAATACTGTATATAATAATATTTTTGTTTAAACTGTGATACACTACCATTCAGAAGTTGAGAGGAAATATGATTTCTTAAAAAAAAAAAACTTTTATCCAGCCTTACATTAAATTGATCAAAAGTAATCAAAACAATGTAAAAAAAATCTATTTCAAATAAATTCTGTTATTTTGAACTTTCTATTCATTAAATGAATCCTGAAAATAAATGTTTTTTTAATAATTAAAAGTAATGTTTCTTGAGCTGCAAATCAGCATATTAGGATGATTTCTGAAGGATCATGTGAAACTGTAAACTGGAGTAATGATGCTGAAAACTCAGCTTTGCCATCACTGAAATAAATTACATTATAAAATATATTCACTAATATTATGTGTTATTCACAATAATATTCACTAATATATTCACTAATACGGTTATGGTTTTACTATATTTTTAATCAAATAAATGCAGCCTTTGTGAGCATAAGAGACTTCTTTTAAAAACATAAACAATTCCATACTTTTGACCAGTAGTGTACTTAGACTATATTTATGAGTATAATAGAGTATAAATATGAATGTCTTATGTTTGCATATTTAAAAAAATTAAATTACTTAATTTTATTATTTGATTATTTTACAAAAATATATGAAGAAATGATAATCCTAACCCTAATAATAATGTTCTTTGTATAAATTATAACAATGTTTTTAAATAATGGTAATTGAAATTTAGTGTAAAGTGTAATGATTAGCTTTTTTGTTGCTGACAGTACATTGCTATTGTACATGTCAGTGCCTATTCAAACATATGATAATCTATGTGTGTATCACTACTTTGCATACAAATACTAAAGAGGTCACGTTGGCAAATGAAATAAATCACATGGACCACTTGAATGAAAAGAATGTGCTTGAAACCTTGTTTCTAAACACTTTGGGAAATAACATCTATTTATTGGTCTTAGCTAAATCTTCTTTCATCTTTCCATTGTGACATTTATTTAAACCATCTTAATTCCATTCTTGCACAAGCTCCTTTTTAGAAGTGTTTACACGATTTACTCAAAGCGCTAGAATTCTTTTGCAATCGCAATCGCTCTGGCATGAGGCTGCTAGTTTTTACTGGGGTAAGTTTTGTCTGCGGCTGGGGTTGTTGCATACCCTGCGTTCACCAATGACTCAACGGGTCTTTTCATTCCAGCCGTCTCCCTAATTGAGGTCATTGTTGGGCAGATTTCATGCATGAATTCTTGATGCCATTGTTTGCATGCCAAAAGCATTTACGCTTGTTTCCTGTGTGTCCTTTCTGGGCTGTTTTAGACAATGAGCACATCTTTCTGGACTTGGAAGAGAAACTTGCTACGTACTTTCCTAAGGAGTGGAAACAGGACTCAGGAAAGGTGAGCATAACACGGTCCTCCATCATTATCAGTAGTACCATGGTGTTCTTTTACATATCTGTAAAATACATGGTTCATCGATGTGATAATCATATAAATATAAATAGTGTTGTGATTGTACTGATTCCATCACAGCATGACTGTACCATGTGCTCCGTGTTCCTTGTGGTCATCAGCGTGGTTACTGTATGATAGTAAAGATAAACACTAGTAGGCCGGTCGGGATGTGGGAGTGACTTCATAATGAGGGGGTTGCCACAGTAACCTGTCAAGCCTGTTCTTTCTCTCGGCAGGGGTCACAGAGGAGGTCAATCCCTCCCCTGCTCTGTCTGAAGGTCCAGTACTATGTGGAGAATGGCAGACTCATCTGGTAAGAAACAGGCCAGAGATTCCCGAACGTTTGAAGGGAGGAATCCTCTCCTTGGCCTCTTTCCTTCATTAGTTTTAATCCACCAGGGTGTGAGGCCAGTTTGAGTGGGCTTGTGATCTGGTTTGATCTGGCCTGTCTTTGAAAGCTGTTTTTATTAGGAAGAATTTTCCTCCCTCATCTGGGTGTGGTGTAACTGAAAACTGCTTATTATGAAACTCAGCCTAACTTTAGATTTTATTGAATGTGGCAAATGAGTGGAGGATTTTGAAGATAGACCGAGGAGAGTCTTTCATTAAATTTATTTTTATTCATATTTAGTTTTGCTGGATTAATATAGTTAAATTAGAAAATGATGGCAGAATTTATTTTGTTCTATTTTAAAATTTTAAATTAGGCTTGATGTGAATTCTTAGAAACATTTCATTTCAAACATTTAATTTTTCAGTTTAGGGGCTGTTTTAATGCTTTTGAAAGAAGTCTCACACTCACCAAGGCTGCATTTATTTAACAATAATAATGTTAAATATTACAATTTAAGATAACACTTTCTATTTTAATACATTTTTTAAATGTAATTTATTTCTGTGATGGCAAAGCTGAATTTTCAGCATCATTACTCCAGTCTTCAGTGTCACATGATCCTTCAGAAATCGTTCTAATATGCTGATTTGCTGCTCAAGAAACATTTTTTTAACATTACTATCAATGTTGAAAATAGTTGTGCTGCTTAATATTTTTGTGGAAACAGTGATACATTTTTGAAGGATTCTTTAAAGTGTTAGTTCACCCACAATTTTGGTCATTTATTACTCACCCTCATGCCGTTCCAAACCCGTAAGACCTTTGTTCATCTTTGGAACACAAATTAAGATATTTTTGATGAAATTTGAGAGCTTTCTGACCCTCCATGGACTATTTTACTAATGTCCTTACTAAGTTTCTGGGTCTGGGAACATTTCAGTTGCACTGCTTTTTTATGGAGGGTCAGAAAGCTCTCGGATTTGATCAAAAATATCTTAATTTGTGTTCCAAAGATGAACAAAGGTCTTACGGGTTTGGAACGGCATGAGGGTGAGTAATTAATGACGAAAATTTTCATTTGAGTGAACTAAACCTTGGCTTTAATAAATAGAAAGTTCAAAAGAACAGGATTTATTGGAAATATAATTATAAATAGGAAATAATTCTTGCTAAAACATTTATATTTGATGTCTAGTTTATTTTTCTCATGCTCTTTTTCTTACTCTTTTTCTGTGTTCTCAGTGAGCGTAAAGCGAGAAAACTGTACTACTATGATCTGCGGGAACGTGTCCTGCGCTCAGAATGCCGACAGCAGGAGGAAGTGTATTTCCAGCTTGCAGGATACGCCCTACAGGCCGATCACTCTGACCACCCCTCAGACAGCCACAGTCAGGGACACACTGTGTATTTCCAACCCAAAGAATACTTTCCACCCTGGGTAAATCTTTATTAGAGTGTATAAAATACAATCACATACATTTGCATCCAAGCAAGTGGTGCTTACTTCGTTTTTAATCATATAAAGATTTGGTTTAAAAGTTGGTTTACTTGGTTGAAAAGTCCAGCATTTGTGGTATTTGGACGCTGGTATGCTATCGTCTTTAGTCCAGGGTTTTTAACTAACAAGACTTTCATGGACAACCAGCTTCACCAGAAAGACCATGCTGACTGACTAGCATTTTTTTAAAAACACCAAACCAGCAAATTCTTCTTGTGCTTTTACAGCAGGGGTTTGATTAAAGTTTTTGTAAGTCTAATAAAGCACGGTGAGAGCCCACACTCATTTTATAATCACGCATGACCCGTGTCTGCTCTCTTATAGATAATTGCGAAGCGTGGCATTGACTACCTGCTGTGTCACGGGCCCAAGGTTCATAAAGAGCTGTGGGGGATGTCCTCGCGTGAGGCTATCCTGCTCTTTATCAGAGAATCCTGCCGTCTGGAGGATGTCCCAGTCACCTTTTATCGCCTACAGAAGGTCAGAGGTCATGCACGGTTATCAGAATGTCTTGCTGTAGGTCAAGACATTCTCAGCTGTGGAATGTGAAAATATTTTCATCAAAGTAGAAGTTAAAGGTGAAGTCATTTCTGCACTACTAGTGGCACCTGATGGAACTGCAGTGTGCTTGATTGAGTAATATTACAACAGCAGCTCAACCAATGCTAGAATGATCTCTGAAGGATCATGTGGCAGAACATTAAAATAAATTGTAGTAATATTTCAATTTTTTGAGTATTTGATCAAATAAATGCAACCTTGGTGAGCATAAGAGACTTCTTTAAAAAATTAACACCAAAAAGACAAACTCTTTTGTATGTGCATGTAATACTATTTTATAAATAGATAGATTCAAATATTCCATCCATCCATCCATCCATCCATCCATCCATCCATCCATCCATCGTGTGTTACTAAGCCTGTGTCTTTTTCCTGTAGGACAAGAAAGAAGAGAAAGGTTCAGCGCTCCTTGGACTCACTCTACGAGGAATGCAAGTGTATCAGGTGTGTGTTTGTGAATGCATGAGGCGTTTTTCTTGCCACCAAAAACAGGGAAAAACACTTCTTGGATATACTGTAAATTGCAGCTGTGAAAAAATTGGACACAGCAACATCGCAACAGTAGTTGTTGCACATTACCTGAAATCACCAGCCCTCATTGAAAATGATGGACTTCTGGTTGCTTTTCGCTGCAAAGCACATGTGAATGGCCTACTTCATTGTGCATCATTCTGTGATTCAGTGCAGTCCTGTGTTTTCTCTTTGAGCCGGTGCCAATCACAATGATAGAGCTCTCCAGATAGGCCTGACTGGAATGCATATATTAGATGGTTCAGTCCATAAACAGGGATTTGGAGTGCATGCCTTTCCCTTGAGTCCACTGATCTGCCCGTTAAAGCGTCTGGGTTTGGATTAAACTAAGGGCCCTGTGTCTAAGAGATCAAAGACCCAGTGTGGTGAGGCACGGACCCCAACCTTAAATGGGCTCCCCTTCTGCTTTGATAAAGAACAGGATTTATATATTACTCCTTTCTCACACTGCCAAATAAGCTTATATTACAAATAATCTAACAAATGATATGTGAAAGGGTTTTGTAGCAAGTAGGGTTAGGAGATCTAAATGTTAGTTCCATTTTCAAGAAACTACTTCAACTGAATAATGAACTGTGTGTTATTTGTAATAAAATAAATTATAAAATTCTATAAAAATGTTATGTATACATTTTTTTTTCTTATAAATAGTAATATTTGTTATCTAATACAAATATGTGACCCTGGACCACAGAACCAGTCATAAGGGTCAATTTTTTGAAATTGAGATTTATACATCATCTGAAAGTTGACTAATTAATTGTTAGGATAGGACAATATTTGGCTGAGGTACAACTATTTGAAAATCTGGAATCTGAGGGTGCAAAAAAATCAAAATATTGATATATATATTTATGAAGTATGATTAGGACCAATTATTTGGCTTTCTTAAAAGTAATAAAAGAATCAGTAATAGAATCATAAAGGAACCTGAACCATTTAGTGGAATCGGAATCTGAGCCATTGAATTTACTAACAAATCCCATTCTTCTGACTTGACCCTTTTCATGTAACAGAGGCCTTGTTTCTTTTATTTGCAGGAGGTGAACAATGTGCGGGATCTGCTGTATGACTTCCCCTGGTTTCATGTGGGACGACTCACTTTTCTGGTAACATTTAATGTTACTGCTTGTTACAATATTAGATCACACCAGACCTCACTGTTTCTCCCTCATTTCAAGTGATTTTTGGTCTTTGATGTGATTTGAATTGTGGTGCTTGAACACCTGCTCTAACATTAAAAGTAAATTTTCAAAAATACAGAGGTTCTGTCTTCTGCTCTCTGCACAGGGGAAGAAGTTTGAGATCCAGCCGGATGGTTTGCCCTCCGCGAGGAAGCTGGTGTACTACACGGGTTCGGCTTTTCGTTCCCGACATCTTCTGCTGCATTTAAGTTCCTGTCACCGATTGTACCTCAGTTTGCAACCTGCGCTCAAACACCTGCGGCAGCTGGAGGACTGAGGTACAACTATTTGAAAATCTGGAATCTGAGGGTGCAAAAAAATCAAAATATTGAGAAAATCGCCTTTAAATCTGTCCAAATTAAATTCTTAGTCATGCAAAATTAAGTTTTGATATATTTATGGTAGGAAATCTACAAAGTTCGTTCCCGACATCTTCTGCTGCATTTAAGTTCCTGTCACCGATTGTACCTCAGTTTGCAACCTGCGCTCAAACACCTGCGGCAGCTGGAGGAGACAGAGGGTGTGTGTCCACATAATATTCATCTCCAGGCCCTTCATGCCTGCTTTTGTAGTATGATTTTGTTTTTTGTTTTCTTCTCAGTGGTGTTGGTTCTGTTATAGCCCATTCGTTTATTGACTTCAGAGACCTCACATAAACAATTTTTATGTAAGCAAGTACTTATAATAATGTATTTATTTTACTTCCCACTTCCACTTTCATTTCCAGATTAATTTTTTATTTATAGTAATGAGTACTGGAGGAAGAAATGTCAGTAATGTCACAATGGTCTTGGAAAATAGTTATGGAAAAAATAGGCTTAATTTTCTTTAACACTAAATGGAGGTGACAGTGTCAAGGAAATAGATTATAAAAGAATAAACTGTTTATTTAATATTCTTTTTCTTTGACACAGTCACCTCTGGCTTCTTGATTGCAATATTTGAAATGGTTTGTATTGTGAAAATTACTATACAAATATACCTGAATTGAATGGAAAAATAAGGTGACCAGATTTCTGAAATAGAAACTAGTACATTTCCTAGTTGAGTGGTCAAAATATCATTGAAATCTCACTTCTTGTTGCCTATAAAGCTAAAAATGGGGACAATACAGTTTTACGTTTTGGGCTCCTATAAGATTATAAAACTTAATTAATATTAAGTAATATTTAATTAGTATAACTCGGCAAATCACACTATGAAAAACAGTAAATATTAACCCTGTCAAAAAGCAAACCGTTCAAAACAGTATTGTAACAAAATTCTGACTTTACAAAAACACATCACAAAAATAAAATAAATTGGATAAAATTGTATTGAACATATATTTTCTAACTGGATTTCATATTTTCACAAACTGTGAATATACTGTATACAGAAATTACTACTTTTTAGACACCCTGTTTCCCCTGAAAACAGAGACGTTGTTACCAAATCGAAAAATATAATTTATTTTTTCTTTTCATTTTGGATGAAGTAAGACTTAAATATGTTAAAGCATTTGTGAGAATCACCCTTATTAGTAAAATAATTATTCTTCCATGTCAGGCTGTTTTTGATGAAATAATATTTTTTTCTCTATTTTCGGATCCAGAGAAGAAGAGGTACCGCGAATCGTACATCAGTGATGAGCTAGACCTGGATCAACCGTGCAGCGAGGGCAGTCCTCGTCTGTCTCGACACTCCACCAGCAGCTCTGGCATTGAGGCGGACACCAGGCAAAACAGCGTCTCTGTAGAGATGGTTTCCATGGAGGAGAAGGAAAAGTCCTTCATCTCTGCTGTCAGTCATGGCTCCTCACACACCTCTGGCATCGACACGAGCAGCAAAACTCGAACCGATGAAGATGAGTGGCAGGAGGAAGGTGAGGGTCAAACAACTTTAGTCGTAATCAGTATTAAAAATATATATACAACTATATTTATAATCAACATTTCTCTAAACGCATCTGCCAACTGTAGAGTCACATATCATTTGCTGGGCTTGAATACTTGTGCAGTTGTTATGCAACAGTATAAAATGTCACGCTCATCAATTTGACATGGTCTGCTGACAGATAAGCATTGCTAGGATTCCTTGCATATGTAGTGCTGAAAAGACATAGATGAAGCTGTTGAGGTTGTTCTGAAGTTATTTAGTTTATTTGCTCAGACAGCTTGACTTGCAAAATGTCACGTTCGCACTGACAGTGAAAGACAAAATCTTTTGTCACAACACGTTAGATTTACGACAGGGTTAAGCACAGATTAACCCATGATGGACTGTTGGTGATGAAATCTGAATGTAGATTTGCAGGATGTGGTGAAGGAGCCTGGGGAGGTCTCTGTGGACGATCCTTTGGATATCTTACGATTGGCTGAGCTGCTGGAGGGCGTGTCCGTCGACTGTCCCACCATCCAATCAGACACTGAATTCAAAGGTGAGGACTCAAAAAAAAAAACAATCCGATTTAGGGCACTTTCAAACCTTATCTATCTGTTTCTGATTCATTTGTATTTAATTCTTTAATTTATTTGTTTCATTGTTGCATAACATAAAAATAAAGTTACTAAATGTGTAAATCATGGAGAAAATGCATGCATACTACTACTGGCAAGTGAGCGATTTGTGCAAGATTTTTATGTATAAATTGTATATAAATATTTATTATGATCATGATGATTATCATATTTATGTTATATTATTATATTATATATTGTAATTATATGATTGATATATATTTTTTAGCAATTGTCATGCAATTAATGTTTATTTGTTATTAAACAAGTGCTCAGCAAGGCTGAATTTATCTAATCAAAAATACAGTAAAAACAGTAATGTTGTGAAATATTATTACAATTCAAAATAGCTGTTTTCTATTTTAATATATTTAAAATGTAACCGATTGCAAAGCTGAATTTTCAGCAGCCATTACTTCAGTCTTCAGTGTCACGTGATCCTACAGAAGTCATTCTAATATTCTGATTGCTAAAGAAATTAATGGAATTTTTATTGAAACTAAGTGTGCTGCTTAATATTTTTGTGGAAACCGTTACATTTTATTTTATTTTTGTAAGATTTTCAAGATTTTTAAAATAGGTTTTTTTTTTGTTGTAAAAATCTAAAAGTCTTAACTGCCACTTTTGATCACTTTAATGCATATTTGCTCAATAAAATTATTAATTTATTTCCTAAACTTTTAAATGGCAGTGTAAAAATTTAATGTAAACAGATGGGACTACAAATCAGCGTGTCACAATATTGTATTAGTGCATTAGGACTTAAAAGCATAAATGCTTTTTTTTGACAATTTTGAAATACAGTAAATCAATATTTGCCTGCAGACTGTGATGAGAATATAAATCTGCTCCTGTTTACTGTAACGTCTGTTTCTAGGTCTACAAATGAGTTCAGTTACAGTCAACGATCAAGTGGACCATTGTGATCCAGACAGCATGAAACAGGTTTGCCGTCTCTGTCTTCTCCAATCTTTCCCTTTTCATTCCTTCATCATGTCACTAACTGCTCATTACCCATTACAGGTTTTAAATCAGAAGTCTCGTAACCCAGCCGACCGCTACAGTCTGAGTCTGGATGACGTGCGACTGTATTCCCCTCTTCTCCCTCTGGGAACGGCATCGGTTCCAGACACCTCTGTCAGCTACACGTTTGGGCTTCCGCATTCCCCAACCAGCATGTGTCCAGACAATACTTCATTTTGTGTCCAGCGCTCCATGAACTGCCTATCTTTGGACCTGCTGGATGATAACCAGCCGCTTGAGCTTGTCCTTTAAAAAACTAAGAAGACCACAGCTTCCTGTTGTCTGAAGCGCTAACAGGACACATTTTCATCAGGAATTTCGTTAAAACTCAACCAACACTCAGATGTGTTTCTATGCTGTTCAACAACAGGACAATATGAACAATTGTGGGTTGTTTTACAGATTATACAACATGTAGAACTTTCTACAGAATGTGTTAATGAATAATCTTAGAAGAATCAGGCATTACTATGCTAAAACCGTGTCCTTGATAAAACCTTCTCTTCCAAGTAAATTCTAACTGGCTGTGACTACAATAAGCAATAAGCAAGAGGCCCCGCCCACAGTGAACTTTCATTGGTCCAAATCCTGTTCTGCTTGGCTGAACTGTATATTAAACATCAAAACGAAACATTTTCACATTCTTTATGGGCAGACAAATTACCTGTTGGTTCACACCTAGTTAGGACATGGTGTAACATGTTATGCTACAAATTTTGTTTAGGGAAGGAAACATTGGACCTCTAAATTTCACATTTGCTCTAAAATGGCTTGAGAATGTCAAACTTGGAGGAACATTCTCTGAATTGCATTATGAATACAGACAGAAGCTACTAGAAAATCCACTAAGAAGACAAAAAGTCTTGTACTCATGCAATAAAATGCCATACGTTCCTTTAAACAAAGACTTTTAACTTGGAGTTCCATTTAATGTTTGAGATCACACAGTTACATTACTAATGTCAATAGTGGTTAATCATATCAAATATGATACAAACATTCACGTTCACTGTCTTTGGAGTCATTTTTGGTCATGAAACACACTGAATATGCACCACCTGTTCTCCTGTTATAATTGTGTACAGACAGTACTCTTGTTCCCAACCCGCTTAAACCTGCAATCAGGATTGGAACAAGGTTAAAAGGTCAAACCAAAATATTCCACGTATGTTGTTTTATGAGATCTAACCACTGGTTTAATATACTTAATATAATATCACATAGTTCTTTACTGCACAAGTAATGTTGAACTGTGATGAACTTTTAAAAGAACAATAAGATCAAAGACTCGTTCGCTGTATACAGATCATGTTTGTTTTGTTCAGGATACATGGAGCTCTTTTGATTTCGATAATTACAAAACACACATCAAGCCCTCAGAGGTTCTGTACATAATGGTGGGTGTAATTTCTTTATGTATTGTAAACACACATCCTATTAAAAGTATGCCCATATATATGTTCCTTTCAGTGAAAGGAAAAACAATAAGAATGAATAGTATGAATAAACATAGCTGGTGTTAAATTCAGTAGTACAATATGTGTATGTGTTTTTCATTACATAGAAATACAGTCAACTGATAAAAGCAATTAGCTTAACCGCAGGGTCAGTGATAAGATATGACTGATGTAATGATAATATAGTCATATTTTAACTCTTTACTGTGTATTTTCAATTCAGTAGCTATAAAAGTGTCCCACTTTCATTTTTCTGGAATAAATTATTGACTTCTGTCAGGACCACTATCCACAGTGAACTTTCATTGGTCCAAATCCTGTTCTGCTTGGCTGAACTGTATATTAAACATCAAAACGAAACATTTTCACATTCTTTATGGGCAGACAAATTACCTGTTGGTTCACACCTAGTTAGGACATGGTGTAACATGTTATGCTACAAATTTTGTTTAGGGAAGGAAACATTGGACCTCTAAATTTCACATTTGCTCTAAAATGGCTTGAGAATGTCAAACTTGGAGGAACATTCTCTGAATTGCATTATGAATACAGACAGAAGCTACTAGAAAATCCACTAAGAAGACAAAAAGTCTTGTACTCATGCAATAAAATGCCATACGTTCCTTTAAACAAAGACTTTTAACTTGGAGTTCCATTTAATGTTTGAGATCACACAGTTACATTACTAATGTCAATAGTGGTTAATCATATCAAATATGATACAAAAATTCACGTTCACTGTCTTTGGAGTCATTTTTGGTCATGAAACACACTGAATATGCACCACCTGTTCTCCTGTTATAATTGTGTACAGACAGTACTCTTGTTCCCAACCCGCTTAAACCTGCAATCAGGATTGGAACAAGGTTAAAAGGTCAAACCAAAATATTCCACGTATGTTGTTTTATGAGATCTAACCACTGGTTTAATATACTTAATATAATATCACATAGTTCTTTACTGCACAAGTAATGTTGAACTGTGATGAACTTTTAAAAGAACAATAAGATCAAAGACTCGTTCGCTGTATACAGATCATGTTTGTTTTGTTCAGGATACATGGAGCTCTTTTGATTTCGATAATTACAAAACACACATCAAGCCCTCAGAGGTTCTGTACATAATGGTGGGTGTAATTTCTTTATGTATTGTAAACACACATCCTATTAAAAGTATGCCCATATATATGTTCCTTTCAGTGAAAGGAAAAACAATAAGAATGAATAGTATGAATAAACATAGCTGGTGTTAAATTCAGTAGTACAATATGTGTATGTGTTTTTCATTACATAGAAATACAGTCAACTGATAAAAGCAATTAGCTTAACCGCAGGGTCAGTGATAAGATATGACTGATGTAATGATAATATAGTCATATTTTAACTCTTTACTGTGTATTTTCAATTCAGTAGCTATAAAAGTGTCCCACTTTCATTTTTCTGGAATAAATTATTGACTTCTGTCAGGACCACTATCGTCAAAGATGATTGACAATTAGCATACAGTTTGGATTGGGGGTATGGTTCCATTCTGGGCAAGAACTCCCTGCGCATCCATGCAGCCTAGCATGGATGAGAGCAGGGAGAGCAGCGATAACCCCCCCAGGGTAAACAGAACAGAACCAAAATAAATGTATGCAGATATCGTTAAAGTTCAATAATGTCATGTACACATTTTAGAATTAGTTTGATTCAAAGGAGAATCAGAAGGCTGAATCCTGACTGACAGAGGAGGAGTTGGGGATGGAGGAGGGTAATTAGCTATTGAGCAATGCGAAAACGGCTGATAACACTGCGGGACCTTATATATGAATGCTTAGATAGGTGTCGTATTCCCATAGGTTGATGGGGATCAGCTGAAAGTCAACTGATGCGAGCTTGACTAACGTGACCTGCCAGAACTAACGCTACGCTTGATTATAATTACTGTATCTCAGTCTGCTTGTGATTTCAGCAAAATGTTTAAACTCCATTTAGTGTGCAAACGCCTCACCAATGAATGAGACACAAACGTCCTGATGAGAGTTGAATGCGACTTGTTGGTGGATTGTCGCAATGTCTGATTCGTGAACGGAAAAATGAGTTCACCAAAAATTCTGTCATAATTTACTCACCCTCATGTCGTTCCAAACATGTCTTTCTTTCTTCCGTGGAACATAATAGAAGATATCGTGAGAAATGTCCATACAATGAAAGTTAGTTAACCAAAACTGTTTGGTTACTTACCAAAATTCTTCAAGAAAGTTAAAGGTTTAAAGATGACAGAATTTTCACTTGTGGGTGAACTATCCCTTTAAAAACTGTTTTATTTGAATGATTCGTTCGATCAGGTCAAACAGTTCACAAGTCAATGATTCGAATCATTAATCGTCTCTCTCCAACTTCTGATGAGGAGAAAGGTAAGAACAGCAGAAACGTCAAAAATAAAACAGTATGTTTACAACTTGATTGTTTGTTTAAACAGCATTTTATTCTAACTTGCAAAGCCTTTTCAGTCGAAATATGTAAATAACGCGTTGTATTAATATAATATCATATCAATGAGTCCAACCGCTAAATAGCTAGTGGGAAGTCGTGGCCTAATGGTTAGAGTCGGACTCGTAACCCAAAGGTTGCGGGGGTTGAATCTCGTACCTGCAGGGATTGTAGGTGGGGGGAGTGAATGTACAGCGCTCTCTCCCACCTTCAGTACCACGACTGAGGTGCCCTTGAGCAAGGCACCGAACCCCCAACTGCTCCCCAGGCGCCGCAGCAAAAAAATGGCTGCCCACTGCTCCGGGTGTGTGTTCACGGTGTTCGTGTGTTCACTGCTGTGTGTGTGCACGTTGGATGGGATAAATGCAGAGCACTAATTCCGAGTATGGGTCACCATACTTGGCCACATGTCACGTCACTTTCACACTTTTTAAATCAGTGTTGCCATGCGCCATGGCAGCAGCGTTTCTCACTGCGTCAATCGGTCACGGTGTATTTCTGGAAGTAGACACACCGGTTCACACGTGTGTGTAGCAGGCAAAAGCATCGAACCGGGTTTTAGCTATTTTAAAGCTGTGGATATTTTTAACTTAAAAGGGCTAGTAAGAAAATGTCTATTTTTTTTTATACACACCCTTTTGTCCCACCATCCCGAACCCGAGGATTTGTTCAATAGTTTGTGCTGGTCAAGCACAACATGCCCCGACATAGAGAAGATCGAAGCTCTAAGAGCTTTCCAATAAATCACACAACAGGAGGGCTTTATTTGTAAAGTGCAGTCAGTGATATGGAATCAATGCATGCCAATAATGCAAACGATCTTCAGTGCAGATGATGGAGGTAAAGATCTGCTCAGCGCTGTCTGTGGACTCTTTGCAGTGTGTGTCAGTACCTGTCAGACCCATGATGCACCTGAGAAGGTAAGTCATGTTCTTCTGCCTGTGCTGATGACGAGAGATGATGGCAACCATGAAACCAGCAGGTTTGACACGGATGTTGCCATTGAAGTCACAGCAGTGCTGTTATCCAGCATCTCCAGGACCTTGTCCTGCACCCTTTGCTGTGCTAAAGATCTCTGACTCTCAAATCTCAAATAATCTCAAAAATCATAGTCCGGATCTGGTTCACCATACTCAAGTCCTGCAATAAAGACACTGAACCAGAGATACATCAGATATGGGATGATTTACTGTCATGATGGGGAAGTCGTGGCCTAATGGTTAGAGAGTCGTACTCGTAACCCAAAAGGTTGTGGGTTCGAGTCTCGTACCGGCAGGGATTGTAGGTGGGGGGGAGTGAATGTACAGTGCTCTCTCCCACCTTCAATACCACGACTCCGGGTGTGTGTTCGCGGGGTGTCTGCGTTCACTGCTGTGTGTGTGCGCACTTTGGATGGGTTAAATGCAGAGCACTAATTCCAAGTATGGGTCACCATACTTGGCTACGTCACGTCACTTTCACTTTTCACTTTCATGGCATCAGAGAGATCAGACAGAATCAGTATAAGCTC